TCCTTGAGAAATCTATTTTTAATTATTTTCAAATAAATCAAAATACTTTGCATATATGCTTTTAGAAAATCTTACAAACTATTTTTTTTTATAAGTCCAAAAAAATTAGGGACTTAGAAATATATTGATTTTTTAATTTTTTATTATTATTTCTTTAATTTATCATAGGTTTATAATATGTCGTTCTCTTGTGGTTGAATAAAAACAAAAATTTAATGCTATGGTTTTTTTTATTTTTAATACTTAATTTTCATTTACAATAATGTAAAGTTATAATATGTTTTAACTTATTCATCGCATCCATTCTACAATTTTCGTAAGTTGTTTTATTTCTTATTAATTTTTAAATTAATTTTTTAGAATTTAGTTTTATATGATTGATGTTATTAATAAATTATTATAATTTATTATATTATTTTCTTTATGTTACGCAGCCGTTACTATTCAGCGCAGCTATTCTAAAAATTTTGTTATTGGTAGATCATATTTTATATATTTTCTTCTTTTAAATGTGTTTTTTTCTCTTCTTGGGGATATGATCATTATAATATTAATTATATATATATATATATATTTCTCATAGCGCAGCCGTTACTATTTAGCGCAGCCAGTTTACAATTTTTGTTATTGCTAGATCATATTTTATATATTTTCTTCTTTTAAATGTGTTTTTTTTCTCTTACAGGCGATATGATCATTATAATATTAATTATATATATATATTTGTCATAGCGCAGCCGTTACTACTCAGCGCAGCCAGTTTACAGTTTTTGTTATTACTTGATTATATTTTATATATTTTTGTTAATGAGGGAGCATATTTTATATTTTTTTTTCTTTTAAGTGGTTTTGTAATCCTTTCTATGCGATATGATCAGTATAATATTAATTATAATTATAATATTTTTTTATGGCGCTGCCGTTACTGTTCAGCGCAGCCATTTCCAATTCAATGAATTAATTTATTTATAAAGTAGAGTTAGTAGATTTCTTCGTAGTAGAATTTTTTTAAAACATGTTTTAAATATTATTGTAATACTTCTTGGTAAACAATGTTTCTTACATAAATTTCTTTTTCATTGCCTATCTTTTTTTTATTCCTTTTTCGCTATGTGTAATACTTGAATTTTTATTTAATAATACTTTAAGATTATATTTTGAAGTTACTCTTGATAAAGCAACATATAATTGTCCGTGACTAAAAACATGTGATGGAAGGTATAATAAATAATTTAAAATGACCATACAAAATTGAAAAAAATTGTTTATATGTAACTTTTTAAAAATAGAGTAATTTTAAAGGTATATATCCAAAAATTCGTAAAAAATTGCATAAAATTGCAAAATAACCCTTTTTCGGGTTTAAATTAAAAAAACATGTTACAAAAAAAAGTATGTAAGATTTTCTAAAAGCATATAGCAAAGTGTTTTAATTTATTTGAAAATAAGTGAAAATAAATTTTCCAAGGACGGTGTCGAGGTCACGGGGTCGGTGTCGTTTTTCGAAATTTGTTAACTTAATATAATAGAAGATTGTTGTCATAATTATAATAAAAATAACATCTAATATTTAACAATTTTCATTTCTTTCTTCAATGATACTGATCAAAATTAAGATAAATTTTATACAATATTAATAAGATATTAATTTAAAACATAAATTATATATATAATATTCATAAACTATATTAAGTAAACAAAAATAAGTACAACTATAACCGAGCAAGCGTTAGCGAGCGAGGAATACATCGCTAGTTTTTAATTAATTTTAGTAAAATTTAAAAAAACGAATATATAAAGAATTGTAATTCAACATTTTGAAAATAATTAAATTTTACAAATTGTCACAAATAAATATATTACAAGCATTTTTTTCTGTCTATTTAGTCAATTTTATTTCGAATCTAAATATTAATTTTTAAAAAATTTTATTTCAACTTTAAAAACCATTTTGTAAAGGCCATAATCTTTTACAAAAAATAAAATATTTAAAAGTTAATTTTTCATTAATTAATACGTTTTTAATTATAATAAATAATTTTTGAATAATAATTTTGATTTAAATGTTTAAAAAATAGAATTTTTGTGTTCACTTTCATTTCTTATTTTATTATATTGAAATTATTTTCTTAATTTTTTTTAAAACGCTTTTTCTTGTCTTTAACAATACTAATATAATGGTTTATTAATAAATAAAAAATTTTAAAATTAATTTTCGCAAATTTGTGAATTTTTAATTAATAGATAATATTTAAAAAAATAATTAATTTTATAATAACCTTTTCACATGACCTTCAGTCATGATTTTACAGTATTATTTCGATTCACTTTTAACTTTTATATTCACCTGCAATGTGAATATTCAGAATATTCAAATATCTCCGTGAAAACCTTTTTAAATGAGCCCGCCCTTTTAGGCCGATAAGTAAGATTATTTTTCTATCAGCAAGTTGTAGAGCCTGTGGAAGATTTTTTTTTCTCAGCCAGATATCTGTAGTGTAGTGGTTAGGGTCTTTAGCTAGCGCGCGGCGAACGTAGGTTCAATCCCCAGCACCCCACAATTTGTTTTCAAAAGTTCTTGCTCAACAAGCATGCAGTGCTTGATTCAATGTGAAACAAAGCATCAAAGCAGAGCAAGAATGTTTGTATATTATTTATTTTATTTTTATTCCCAGATAGTAAATTTTTTTTATCAATAATAATAATAAAGATCTATCTATCTATCTATTATTATTATTATTGATATTAATAATAATAATAATAATAATAATAATAATAATAATATTAATACTTCTTAAATATTATTTTTGTATTTTTTACAGATATTTCCGTCCAACATTTCCTGAAAATTTAATTTAAATTTTCAGGAAATGTTCGTCACAAAAATTTACTGAATATTTAAATTACATTTTCACTCAACTTTCGCTATAAATTTTTAATGAATGTTTAATTTAAATGTTCAGTCAATTTTTGCGACGAACATTTCCTGAAAATTTCATTTTTTTTACTCAATTTTTGCAACGAACATTTCCTGAAAATTTCATTTAAATTTTTAGTCAACTTTTACGCCAAATATTTATTTTGGTGGGACATTTAAATCTTTATGCAATTTTCATTAAACTTTGCAATTAAATATTCCCAAGATTTCAAGGAAATCTTTACGAAATTTTTAGTAAAGATTGGCTGCTGTGGGGGAGATCATCGCAAAAAACTTTATACTTTATGTAGCTGCAAAAACAATTCCTAAGATTTAGCTGAAGCATTGTGTGGGATTCAACTTAGAAAAATGTTCTATACTGAACATTATTCATATTTTGAATAATGGCATTTTAAATGCTTTAAAATGTAAAATGTGTAAGGTTTATTATTTTTAAGTAATATGTAACTGAGTTTTAAATATAATAGTTAAAAGAATTAATTAATTTTGAAGAATTATGGCGAAAATAGTGTAGATAGTTTTCGCTCTTGTTCAACAACCACACGCGATTCCTCAGCATAGCCCTTCTGTAGCGGGAGGTCACCTTCGGTGATGCATCTACTCGCTATATCTATATTCACATATCCAAGCCTGTACGCTCTATATCTATATATATATCGATCGCTCGCGACGAGTCATAGCATGCAGGAAGAGATAAGCATATATATAGACGCGTGTATATGAATATAAATCAATGCCTTTATATAATATTTGAAATAATTATAATTTGAAGATGTTAATTTTATATAGTTTAAGTACATAGGTATAATTTATTGTTTATTATATATATATATATGGGGTAAAATTCCTGTAGCGAACTAAGTGAAAAAAAAGTTAATGGGATCGGGCTGTAACTTGCACATAGTATAGCCCTTGGGGTGAGTAATTTAACCACGAAGTATTGTTAGGTTTTTTCAAAAACTGTCGAAGAGGGGGGGGGGGTTGAATTTTTTTGAAAAATTTAAACAGTGAATATTTGAAGACTTGTAACTTTTAAACAGAAAGAAGAAGAAAAATTTGTCCTATATGTTTTCGAAAGGTTTTTTCCTGCTCTTTCGAATGGTGCAAAAAAAATTTCCAAAAATTCAAATTTTCACCCTTATTTATTTTTTTTGAAAGCTAAAAATGTGTATTTTCACTACAAAAAATATTGAGATGTCCTTTTTGTTATTTTCAAGATATTAACTAATTAATTAATTAAAGTTAATAAAAAATGAAATATTTCACAAATAAATAAAGTTATTGCAATCCTGAAGGTACCAATTGAAAGCTGACGTTATTCCGCATCCAACGAGCCCTATATGGACTATTTTGGATTAGAGGATTTTCTATAAACAATTGCCATGTTAGCCAATTGTTTATTAACAATCCACTAACCCAAAGTACTTCATATATGGCTCATTAGGTGCGGAACTATGTCAACTTTTATTAAGTAATGTCAGAATTACGATACCTTTATTCGTTTATGAAATATAATATATTTTACAAACAAATAAAGTTATCGAAATTCTGACGTTACTAAATGAAAGTTGACATAATTCCGCATCCAACGAGCCCTATATGAAATACTTTGGGTTAGTGGATTGTTAATAAACAAATGGCTAATATGGCAATTGTTTATAGAAAACCCTTTAATCCAAAATAGTCCAAATAGGGATCGTTGGATGCGGAATTACGTCTGCTTTCAATTTGTAGCTTCAGGATTGCAATAACTTTATTTATTTTTGAAATATTTTGATATTTTATTAACATTAATTAATTAACTAGCGATGTATTCCTCGCTCGCTAACGCTCGCTCGGTTAAAATTAATCTTATTCTTGTTTACTTATTGTAGTTTATGTATATTATATATATAATTTATGTTTTAAATTAATATCTTATTAATATTGTATAAAATTTATCTTAAAATTAAAAAAGATGTTACATAAAAATAGTTTGTAAGATTTTCTAAAAGCATATATGCAAAGTATTTTGATTTATTTGAAAATAATTGAAAATAGATTTATCAAGGACGGTGTCGAGGTCACGGGGTCGGTGTCGTTTTTCGAAATTTGTTAACTTAATATAATAGAAGATGTTTCGTTTTAAATTAAGAAATGTTAAAATTATTAAGTTAAAAACATTTGATTTTAATGACACTTAAAATTAGACACAATATTATAGGTTACTAACTAAAAATTGAAAAAACAACAATAAATAATAAAAAATAATAATAAAAAATTGAAAAAATCAAAAAATTCTTAAAAAATTGCAAAATAACCCTTTTTCGGGATAAAATTGCAAAATAAACCTTTTTCGGGTTAAAATTAAAAAATAACCCTTTTTCGGGTTAAAATTGAAAAAAGATGTTAAATAAAAATAGTTTGTAAGATTTTCTAAAAGCATATATGCAAAGTATTTTGATTTATTTGAAAATAATTGAAAATAGATTTTTCAAGGACGGTGTCGAGGTCACGGGATCGGTGTCGTTTTTCGAAATTTGTTAACTTAATATAATAGAAGATGTTTCGTTTTAAATTAAGAAATGTTAAAATTATTAAGTTAAAAACATTTGATTTTAATGACACTTAAAATTAGACACAATATTATAGGTTACTAACTAAAAATTGAAAAAACAACAATAAATAATAAAAAATTGAAAAAATCAAAAAATTCTTAAAAAATTGCAAAATAACCCTTTTTCGGGTTAAAATTGAAAAAAGATGTTACATAAAAATAGTTTGTAAGATTTTCTAAAAGCATATAAGCAAAGTATTTTGATTTATTTGAAAATAATTGAAAATAGATTTTTCAAGGACGGTGTCGAGGTCACTGGGTCGGTGTCGTTTTTCGAAATTTGTTAACTTAATATAATAGAAGATGTTTCGTTCTAAATTAAGAAATGTTAAAATTATTAAGTTAAAAACATTTGATTTTAATGACACTTAAAATTAGACACAATATTATAGGTTACTAACTAAAAATTGAAAAAACAACAATAAATAATAAAAAATTGAAAAAATCAAAAAATTCTTAAAAAATTGCAAAATAACACTTTTTCGGGTTAAAATTGAAAAATAACCCTTTTTCAGGTTAAAATTGAAAAAAGATGTTACATAAAAATAGTTTGTAAGATTTTCTAAAAGCATATAAGCAAAGTATTTTGATTTATTTGAAAATAATTGAAAATAGATTTTTCAAGGACGGTGTCGAGGTCACTGGGTCGGTGTCGTTTTTCGAAATTTGTTAACTTAATATAATAGAAGATGTTTCGTTTTAAATTAAGAAATGTTAAAATTATTAAGTTAAAAACATTTGATTTTAATGACACTTAAAATTAGACACAATATTATAGGTTACTAACTAAAAATTGAAAAAACAACAATAAATAATAAAAAATAATAATAAAAAATTGAAAAAATCAAAAAATTCTTATAAAATTGCAAAATAACCCTTTTTCGGGATAAAATTGCAAAATAAACCTTTTTCGGGTTAAAATTGAAAAATAACCCTTTTTCGGGTTAAAATTGAAAAAAGATGTTAAATAAAAATAGTTTGTAAGATTTTCTAAAAGCATATATGCAAAGTATTTTGATTTATTTGAAAATAATTGAAAATAGATTTTTCAAGGACGGTGTCGAGGTCACGGGATCGGTGTCGTTTTTCGAAATTTGTTAACTTAATATAATAGAAGATGTTTCGTTTTAAATTAAGAAATGTTAAAATTATTAAGTTAAAAACATTTGATTTTAATGACACTTAAAATTAGACACAATATTATAGGTTACTAACTAAAAATTGAAAAAACAACAATAAATAATAAAAAATTGAAAAAATCAAAAAATTCTTAAAAAATTGCAAAATAACCCTTTTTCGGGTTAAAATTGAAAAAAGATGTTACATAAAAATAGTTTGTAAGATTTTTTAAAAGCATATAAGCAAAGTATTTTGATTTATTTGAAAATAATTGAAAATAGATTTTTCAAGGACGGTGTCGAGGTCACTGGGTCGGTGTCGTTTTTCGAAATTTGTTAACTTAATATAATAGAAGATTAATGTCTCGAAAATAACAAAAAAGGACATCTCAATAGTTTTTGTGGTAAAAAAACACATTTTTAGCTTTAAAAAAATAAATAAAAAAAATAAAAAGGACCGAACTTAAAAAGAAGTCAAAAAAGTTTGATTTTCAAAAAAGGGTCAAAATTTTTTTTTTTAGAAAATTTTTTTTACCATTTGAAAGAGCAGGATAAAACCTTTCGAAAACATACAGGACAAATTTTTCTTCTTCTTTCTGTTTAAAAGTTACAAGTCTTCAAATATTTACTGTTTAAATTTTTCAAAAAAATTCAACCCCCTCCCTCTTCGACAGTTTTTGAAAAAACCTAATAATACTTCGTAGTTAAATTACTCACCCCTAGGGCTAAACTATGTGCAAGTTACAGCCCGATCCGATCAACTTTTTTTCACTTAATTCGCTACAGGAATTTTACCCCATATTCATACCATCATACTGACAGTAACGGGAATGCATAAGGAGGTAAAATTTGTGCTTACTATAAGCGTACAGTTACATAAAAATAGTTTGTAAGATTTTCTAACAGCATATATGCAAAGTATTTTGATTTATTTGAAAATAATTGAAAATAGATTTTTCAAGGACGGTGTCGAGGTCACGGGGTCGGTGTCGTTTTTCGAAATTTGTTAACTTAATATAATAGAAGATGTTTCGTTTTAAATTAAGAAATGTTAAAATTATTAAGTTAAAAACATTTGATTTTAATGACACTTAAAATTAGACACAATATTATAGGTTACTAACTAAAAATTGAAAAAACAACAATAAATAATAAAAAATAATAATTAAAAATTGCAAAAATGAAAAAATTCTTAAAAAATTGCAAAATAACCCTTTTTCGGGTTAAAATTGAAAAAAGATGTTACATAAAAATAGATTGTAAGATTTTCTAACAGCATATATGCAAAGTATTTTGATTTATTTGAAAATAATTGAAAATAGATTTTTCAAGGACGGTGTCGAGGTCACGGGGTCGGTGTCGTTTTTCGAAATTTGTTAACTTAATATAATAGAAGATGTTTCATTTTAAATTAAGAAATGATAAAATTATTAAGTTAAAAACATTTGATTTTAATGACACTTAAAATTAGACACAATATTATAGGTTACTAACTAAAATTTGAAAAAACAACAATAAATAATAAAAAATAATAATAAAAAATTGAAAAAATCAAAAAATTCTAAAAAAATTGCTAAAGAACCCTTTTTCGGGTTAAAATTGCAAAATAACCCTTTTTCGGGTTAAAATTGAAAAAAGATGTTACATAAAAATAGTTTGTAAGATTTTCTAACAGCATATATGCAAAGTATTTTGATTTATTTGAAAATAATTGAAAATAGATTTTTCAAGGACGGTGTCGAGGTCACGGGGTCGGTGTCGTTTTTCGAAATTTGTTAACTTAATATAATAGAAGATGTTTCGTTTTAAATTAAGAAATGTTAAAATTATTAAGTTAAAAACATTTGATTTTAATGACACTTAAAATTAGACACAATATTATAGGTTACGAACTAAAATTTGAAAAAAACAACAATAAATAATAAAATATAATGATAAAAAATTGAAAAAATTAAAAAATTCTTAAAAAATTGCAAAATAACCCTTTTTCGGGTTAAAATTGCAAAAAGATGTTACATAAAAATAGTTTGTAAGATTTTCTAACAGCATATATGCAAAGTATTTTGATTTATTTGAAAATAATTGAAAATAGATTTTTCAAGGACGGTGTCGAGGTCACGGGGTCGGTGTCGTTTTTCGAAATTTGTTAACTTAATATAATAGAAGATTAATGTCTCGAAAATAACAAAAAAGGACATCTCAATAGTTTTTGTGGTAAAAAAACACATTTTTAGCTTTAAAAAAATAAATAAAAAAAATAAAAAGGACCGAACTTAAAAAGAAGTCAAAAAAGTTTGATTTTCAAAAAAGGGTCAAAATTTTTTTTTTTAGAAAATTTTTTTTACCATTTGAAAGAGCAGGATAAAACCTTTCGAAAACATACAGGACAAATTTTTCTTCTTCTTTCTGTTTAAAAGTTACAAGTCTTCAAATATTTACTGTTTAAATTTTTCAAAAAAATTCAACCCCCTCCCTCTTCGACAGTTTTTGAAAAAACCTAATAATACTTCGTAGTTAAATTACTCACCCCTAGGGCTAAACTATGTGCAAGTTACAGCCCGATCCGATCAACTTTTTTTCACTTAATTCGCTACAGGAATTTTACCCCATATTCATACCATCATACTGACAGTAACGGGAATGCATAAGGAGGTAAAATTTGTGCTTACTATAAGCGTACAGTTGCGCTCCCTTATGCATCCCTGGCTTTGGGCGAGCTATTGGGATCTGACATTCGTACACATGCCATCTGGTGTTGAAAAATGTAACTAGTTTTGGATAACTGTTTGTGTCACTTGCAATTGTAGTTCCGCTGTCATTGTTAATTATTTTATCATTATGAATGAAGCTACATTTTTACCGCGTGAGAAATCTTCCTGCAGAATTAAGTGTTCTGTGAGAGGCTGTGGCAGTACTGTAGCGAAAAATTTAAGCGTAATTTTCCATAAATTTCCGAAACCAAAACCAAAATTACACGATTTACACCACACTTTATAATCTGCCCGGCTTGCAAAACGCGTTCACCTTCAATAAATTTTCGTTGAGCAGGATTTGTACCTGCCCATGCGCAAATACTGTCCATAGAAATGAACATTTTCTGCATCCCATGTTATTCCCATGTAAATTCACTAAAAGTGTTACCCAATTTACGCCATATTGCTTTAGGCCCCGCCCCCATGTCAGATCCCAATTGACCACGCGTTTTCCCGTGCATTTTCCTCCATTTTCCTTTCCTTGCGCCTCCTTTTCACTCTCACTGCCTTGCGCTTTTCTTATCCTCCTCCAATCATCGCGCGTCAAACCTTGGGATCTGACATGGGGGCGGGGCCTAAAGCAATATGGCGTAAATTGGGTAACACTTTTAGTGAATTTACATGGGAATAACATGGGATGCATGTTTAAAAATCGTTTTTAAAATCGTTTAAAAAATATTGCTTAATTTAATAAATGTATAAGGGGATTTTTTTAATACAAAATTACTATTTACATTCCTATTTACAAACATGAATAAAAATATAAAAGAAATCTTATTTTTATACAAATTATTTTCTCAAATTCAGCGATACTTGTGCAAGAAAAGTATTGTATTTTCCTTTATATTTCATGTAATTATATGAAAATTTATAAATGTATGTATTTCATTTTTCATTGTAAAAGTCTGTTAACAAGAAGTGAAAAAAAAATTTATTTATCCGTTTTTACAGTGATAAATTAACTTTCAAAATGTTCACATGCACGGGTAATATGAAAGATTATATAACCTCCAAATTCTAAAATATTAAACTTACATGGCAAAATGTAATCACTTCTTTTGAAATGCAGAGAACATACACTCATAGAAGGCTTTATACTGTTTATTTTTAAAGCATTTTTCCAGGCCTTTAATTGATCGACTTTTTCAAAATTATCGAACGTATTTTTCACATCCGCTACTCGTTGTTTTGGTTTCGGAAATTTATGGAAAATTACGCTTAAATTTTTCGCTACAGTACTGCCACAGCCTCTCACAGAACACTTAATTCTGCAGGAAGATTTCTCACGCGGTAAAAATGTAGTTTCATTCATAATGATAAAATAATTAACAATGACAGCGGAACTACAATTGCAAGTGACACAAACAGTTATCCAAAACTAGTTACATTTTTCAACACCAGATGGCATGTGTACGAATGTCAGATCCCACTCTCTACTTTCTTCGTACTTTCTTCGTCATATAAATATTAATCACAATTTCTTGACATTTTATGAGCCAACTTTCACGGTTTGCATACGCTAGGGAAGAATGTGTACATGAATTGTTTTATATAATTTGAATTGCATAACAAAATAAGATTTCAATGAGCCTAAGAACGTTTAAAAATATTAATTTTTGCCAGAGAAATAAAAAAATAGTAAAAACATTGGAAATTGGGTTTTTCTTAGATATCTAATTGAAAAATTAACATATTCTCTTTGTCAAGGTGTCATTTCTTTCAGAATTTTATTAGCTTTAATAAAATAAAGAGGAAAAAATTTTAGTTTTAATATTTTTTAAGATTTTAACAGTTTTATAGTTGTTGAAAAAGCAGAGTTCGCACAATTTCGGACGGTAGTGTATATACATATACATATATAATGTATGTATGAGGAGTGTGTGCCATGGGTTATGTATCTCTTCGCGGATTCTGTAGGATAGTAAGAGTGAATGTTTTATTAATATTATATATAATTATAAGATTATTGATATTATTGTTAATAATAAATTAGAATAATTAATTCTTTAATTAAGTTAAGAGGGATGTGTGTGTTTCCGAGAATTGGGGAGATCTCGCGTGAAAACACGCGACTTGACCCTTGACTCGCGGTTTTCCGCGTTTTTTTCGCGGCTTTCCGCGGGTCAAGGGTAGGGAGTGTACGGACGAAAGGTTGCCCCATTCTTGGAATTTCTCCCACTTCTTCACGTTTTAGAAAAGTCACGGTCTTTAAAAGCTGATGCACTGGACCAAAACGTCAGTTCTACTTCGAGCTCACCTAGAGGTTGGTCTTCCTCCTCTGCTCTGCCTACATACTACTACACTCGACTTAGAAAAATTTGCAATCTTATACTTAGAAAAATTCGTGAAATTTATACTTAGAAAAATTCGTGAATCTTGTACTTCGAAAATTTTCGCCAAGTGTGGACTTAAAAAATTTTCGGCTAGTTTGTACTTAGAAAATTTCTTGACTATTCGTACTTAGAAATTTTCCGCCACTGGTGGACTTAGACAATTTCCACGAGTATTGTACTTAGAAGTTTTCTCCTGTGTGACCATTGATTTAAATAAAGACTTTTTTTCAACTATCACCTGTTTTTTTCGTTATACTAACACCGAGTTAAAACTTCATAATGGCAAGTATATTTTGATAATTGAATAACTAAATTGTTTATAACAAACACTATTAGTACGAACATTGCATACCGAGCTGGTTTCCTCTCGGAATAGGGAGTTTGCATAAAAAAAATGTTACGTTTTTTTTTTATAAAATCGTAAATATAGGTATTTTAAAATATATTAGTGTTGAAAGTTTTAATTTTTTTTAAATTTTACATATTAAAATTTTTATTTAAAAGTTGAAACTATTTATACTGAAAGAAAACGATTTTTATTGGTGCTGGGACGTGACGTCATAAGTGTCTACTGTCGCATCGTCTGCTACATGATCCATGTGTGATCTGTGTTTACTAATATATGCGTTCGCTGTTTTCAAATTATTTTATTTTTTTTAACTAAAAATAAGTGATTTATTGTGTTTATTTATTATTGTATTATTATTGTAATTGAGGGGCCGGAAACAATAACAACCAGTACGCTCGGCCGGTCGCTTTGAAGCCAATCAACACCTCAAAATTGAAACTCAAAATTCGGATTTTTCAGAAGCACTACTTTATAGAAGATAAAAAAACATATCTTTTTTCTCTTAGAAACTTTTTTTTAAATCCAATATTTTTGATAATAAAAGCAAAAAGCCCAAAAAAAATTTTATCAAATGTAATGAAATTTTAAAATGTAAACGATTATTTTTTTCACAAATAGTATAATAAATTTGTTTACAACTTGGTATACATACTAAATTAGGTCTAATAAAGCCATTAAAACATTAGAAAAGGCAAAAAAAATTATTGTTTTATTATTTTTAATTAAAAATTGAAAGAGGTCGATATTCACATTTTCTAACTTTTGACGATAAAATGTCTGCAGGGAATTTCAAAACTGTAAGAACTTCTCTTATAATATTTATATTATTTATATTTATTTATATTATATTTATAATATGCGTATTTTAAATATTTACAAAATATCAAGTATGAATTATAAATGTTACTAATATTAATATTGTTAACAATTCTAATACTAATGTACATACATATAAGATACTGATCACAAAAAATAAACATAACTTTCTTCTTATTTCACTAATTTCTTATTATTCGAGCCGAAATAATTTCACATACTTCAAGAAAGAGTCTCCAGCGGGTTAAGTGAACGCGATGGGCTATCCGCTTTTTCTTGAAAATT